CATCGCCTCCTGTGAGGCCTCCACGTCCTCTGTCCTCCTGGAGGCACCTGGGGGGTCTGGGGACAGGACACAGCGTCACTGCCAGGTGAGGGCAGCCCAGGATGCCAGAGCTTCCTGGATATCCCCTGGGGGGAGGGCATCTGGCTCCTGGCTTACCAGCTGCACAAGGGACATGGCGGGGCACAGGTGAGACCCCCGGCCACCAGGTGGGCCCGTGACAGGTCGGGAGTCGAGCAAGACAGAAGACGGCACACCCCTGCCCCGATGCCATGAGCCTGGTGGTTAGGAGTGGGAGGGCGGGGGACGGAGACGCGTCCCTGGGGCTCTGTGTCAGTGGAGACCTGCAGGGCTCCCAGAGAGCACAGGCCGTGTGGCTGAAGTAGCTGAGCTTCCGGTCACCCCTGCTCTGGCCTGCCCTGCAGCCTGCCCACCACGCAGGGTGGGAACAGCGGGGTCTGTTTCAACCACGCTTTTTTCGGGGAGGGGGGCTATAGGGCACATGCACTCACCAGAGAGACAGAAAGTAAGAAATCACCCCCCAGGTGTGGCCACGCCGCAACCCCTTCTCCTTTCTCTCGGCATTGTGGACACACACGCACGCACCAGGTGTTTCCAGCCTCTGGGTCCGCAGTCGGCCATATGGGAGTCCAGTGATTAACCATTATGTCATCTGCTGCCCCCCTAAGTCCTTTTTCCCCCTAATTCTGCTATAGGGTGCCTGCACCCTCCAGAGACACGGGGCCGCGGGGAGGTGTGTGCGCCCCAGGGTGCTGGCCCCGCCGGCAGCTGAGAGAGGCGGAGGACATGCCCATGGTCAGGGAAGTCCTGTGCGAAGCCTGCTCTAGAGGACCCAGGATCCACCCTCAGCACACGGCTGGGCCAGCAGGGCACGCGAGCCCTGGTTTAAGAGCCATGGGGGACGGGACGGCAGGTGGCGTGGTGGGTAAGGGCGCTGGACTCCCACATGGCTGACCGCAGCTCAGTCCCGGACCCGGCAGCTTTCCCTGTGGTCAAATCAAAACAAGCACATACATAGTTAAATAACTCTTTTAAAAAAGAATCATGGCGGGATCAGCAGTTGGTGTAATGGCTATGTCGCTGGACTCCCATGTAGTCGACCGTGGTTCGCGTCCCGGACCGGGAGGCTTAATCTCACTCCGGGCGCGTGTGCGTGCCCAAGATCCCGAGAAGAGAGATGCCGCGGCCACCCCACTGGGAGGTGATTTCTCGCTGTCTGTCTCTCTGCCTCTCCAAAAACAAGAGAACCACGGGGCCGGGGCTGGCGGGCGAGTGTGGCGAAGACGCTGGGCCCCCTTGGCTGGCTGTGCGGGGCGAGTCCCGGGTCGAGTGGCTTGAGACGGGC